GTTTGAAACTGGGTTTATTTTTCATATGTTAAACCGGTTTTTAATCGGTTTTAACATATGAAAAATAAACCCGGTTCCAAACTCTACGTAGTTTAGCTATTCTATTGTCTACCCACGTGACATCGATTATTATATATATATATACAGTATATAGTATATATATTACTGTATATATTCGTGTTATCTATTTACTAATTTGTATTACACTGGTGATAATCACCAGTGGCGATAAATAGCAAACTCCTATTATTATTATTATTATTATTATTATTATTATTATTATTATTATTATTATTATTATTATTATTATTATTACTATTACTATTTACCTCTTCTTCTCAGTTGTTCCTACTTCAAATCATTCATATAAATAATCCACCACCTTCAGTTCATTATCAGAGATTACTATGACTTCCTAACCATTATTGTTATTATTATTATTATTATTATTATTTTTAGCTTGAAGGAAATTTTGATGAAGATTGCTATTAGCATGATGATATACTCTCACCATTTTGAAAGAAGATTTAACAGAAACAGAAATACAAACTTTAGATCATACTATTTATTTCCCTATTTTACTTTAATTAATATACATAGTAAAATCTGACAATCTTATTGGACCAATATAATGAAACATTTGATCTTTAAAAAGAGTACAAATTTAAAAATTGATAATTTTTGTAGTAGTAGTTTAGTAGTTAGAGTGTTCATAACTATTATAAGGTTGTGTATTTGACTCCACTAATAGCTTGTTATATTAGGTGTATATCGATGATATTATCAGATTACTAGATAATGTTATTATTTTGTTATTATTTAGTTATCATTTTGTTGTCTTTTGTTATCATTTTGTTATTGTATTTTATCTTTATCTCTTTATAGTATTACAATTTATATTTTATTTATTTATTTGTATTTTATTTATATTACATTTATAGTTATTTATATTATATTTATATTAATTTATATTATATTTATATTTTTATTTATATTTCATTTATATCAGATATTTTTAAATTAGTTTAGTATAAATTTATTTTAGTATATATAAAGTCACAGATTTAAATTTTCTGCCCATAATTTAGAAATTTTTTTTTACTTCAATAGTTGAGACCAACATGGAAAACTTAACTTTTTTTCCTGAAACTCTTGCCGCTTTAATGAAATTTATCCCTTTTTGGAATTAGGACCCTTTATCTTCAAATAATACTTTTGTAATTACTAGAAATCAAGTTATCTTTACTGATAGAATTAATATCTTAACAACTATTTAAATAGAAGAAAGCCAGACTTAGAATAATCTGTTTAATGAATACTTATCAATGCCAAATCTTGATAATTTTGTTATTCAGAAAATAACTACTAGAAGTTTTAGTACTAGAAACAGATCTCAAAAAGATTTTAAAAGATTTGACTACTCGAAGTTCAAACACTTCCTTTAGAGCTAACCCTTTAGTTAACACCTTATAGACAGATCAAGTAAGGGCATTGACAGATATTACGTAATATTTTAGGGGGGGAGGAGGTAAAAAATTATCTTATACTATATATAATCTTATATAAGAAAAATCTTATATAGGAGGTACTTCCTATAGTAAAAAAATATTACATAATATATTTTATAGCCCTAAATAAAACTATTACCTGTTTAAATTGAGAAACTAGAAGAAACTAAAAAGAAAAACAAGTCTGAATATTAGAAGCTTGCTACTATTTAGGAAAACTTCATTCTAACTTTAGAAAAGATTTTAAAGTTATCAAGAAAATTAGAAAAACTTTCAAAGCTTCACTAGGACCCAGACATACTACTAATATTTGGAAATGTGCTGAACAAGTTTACCAAGTCTTTTAAAATTGGAAATTGCCACAACTGTATTATACCCAATTTCTCTTGCTTAGTAGTTTAAATATATTATCAGACTCAGACTTTTCAGTATTATTGACTCATAAAGTTTGTTTTTAAAAAGGATAGAAATATTATAGAATAGATTGAATACTTCTATAAGATCCAGAAAATTTCCATGATTATAACAAGCTATAATATATGAGAAATAGACCAATAGTTGGTCAGATAATTAAAGATATACCTTTTATATCTTTTATATCTTTTATACCTTTTATACCTTTTATACCTTTTATACCTTTTATACCTTTTATATCTTTTATATCTTTTATACCTTTTATACTTTTTATACCTTTTATATCTTTTATACCTTTTATACCTTTTACACCTTTTATACCTTTTGTACCTTTTGTACCTTTTATACATTTTATACTATTATACATTTTATACTTTTTATACCTTTTCTATTATCTGTATTTTGTATAACAATGATATTTTCATAGTATTTGTAAAAGTATATAAACCCTAGCTTTCTTAGCTTTAGAATTAGTTCACTGCAATCTTTAGTTATTAGGATTCTTTAGGCACAGATATCTATTAATAGCCTTGTATCTTAAATATTGTATCGTTAATAAATATATACCTTTTGCTCTCTGAATAAACTATAAATAAACTATACTAAACTGTACTTAGTGAAGTAACATCCTACTTCCACACCACTTCATATCTCTCACTGTTGTCTCTGAGATCCTTGTCGCTATGTGCTGTGTTGCAAGTACTATATTTACAAGAAGGCTATAGTCACTTGTAACAATATAAGTAAATTTTTTACTGATATTGGTAAATATTTAATATTATGTAAAAAAAACAAAGTATACATATGATTTTAAACTTTATTCTAATTTACTTTTTTTTTATAATTAAAAAATCCTAATTAAATTTTTTTTTAAATTACTTTTTTTAATCTTTTACCAGAAGTATATATTATAACTTATCTGAGTAAAGATGATGATAAGTAGTGAAACTCAGATAATTTTATATACCAGGTAATTAATTATGCAATTCCAATCTTTGAAGCTTAATTTCTAAATATAAAAGCTCTTTTTGTATTTGATAATATAACCAGTCATTGCATATATACTGAAGATACTCTTTTGACAAAAAATATAAATTTATATTCTAGTAGCAAATAGCCAAAAATAAGGTTTGTATGCTTTTATATATAAAAACTGTGTTTTAATAGAACACTGCCTATATCTGTTTTTTCATTTTTTTTTATGCATATGTTGAATGGTACTTTAAATTTTTTATATATTTAATATTTTCAAATATTTAAAAGTACTATATATAGAAATAATATTTATTAAGATATATGTTTTTTTAAAAATTATAAAGATTCTGAATTGTATAGTAAACTAAAAAGCTTGAAAAAAGTTTTGTATAAAAAAAAATTGTGGTATAATGGAATAAGATTGGTATGCAAAAAAGGATATAAACAAGAAAAAACTAATTACTATACTAGAACTACAATGGCAAATCAATTAGATTTTATAATAGTACAACATGAAAAACTTAAGAAGGTAATCATTGCCACAGGCTATAAAGTTATTTTTTATCTAAAATTTCATTGTGAATTAAATTATCTAGAAAACTTTTGGGGTTTAGCAAAGTAATATGCATGAAACCACTATAACTATATATACTGTAGAAAGGTCTAAAGAAAACAGTGTCAAAAGCCCTTAAATTAGTATAATTTTACTAGAGTAACTCCTGTTGTATATACAGTATACATGTTGGCAAAATCCCGACTTACTATAGTTTGGGATTTGTCCATCATCCCAAATCCCAAATTCTAGCAAAGCTAATATCTTAAAAACTTTATTAATAATCTTTATTTAAACAAATTATATATATTCTAATAGTTATAAATAATATATTAAAATTATTTATTTGATTTAATCTTTTATAAATAGCAATTGTTTTTTTATTATTTGGAATTTGTCCGGGTTTTGCCAGCAAGTATAGTTGTATAACTAACAAAAAATGATCCTCTCGCAATTTTATCTACCCCTAACCCTAACCCAAACACTAACACTAACCCTAACACTAACACTAACACCAACCCTAACACTAACACTAACCCTAACACTAATTATTATAGGGTGCACTATTGTACGGGGTGCACTAAATTATAAATCCCATATATATATATTGTATATATATTATAATATTTATATTTATATACTGTATATATATAATTGTGAATCCATTTGATTGGTAAATTTTGAATTCAGAATTCCACTGTTCAAAATCTACATAAAATAGTGTTTCGGATTCTAGAAACTATAACTGAGCATTGATCAAGAAGGAGCTATTTTGTGCAAACTCATTAATCGGTGTAATACGAGCTGTTACGCAAATACAGAAATAGATTCATCTGAAAACGTTCGGTTCAAAACTCAGCGTTACCAATAATCAGAGCGCTGTTACACGATCTCCTCCTGAAAGCCTTTCTTTTCAAACCGGCTGTTTTCATTTTCTTGGTGTTAGGGCCAGCCTTAAGAGTAGAATTTATAATAAACAAGCATAAGTGGTGGGTAAATAGAAACCTTCATCATTTTAATCCGATTTTCATTATGTTCTGCAACAATACATATATTTGGTTCGATACATATTGCCAAGGAAACTATTTTATTATTAAATCCATTATGCACATCGTAGATTTCAATTGTTTACTAATGGCACAGATCGACTTTTCGTGTGTCTAATAACGTATTTACGATTGCATGTGGTGCAAATCCTACTTGAAATAGCCAAACTGCAATTTTTCAGAACTCTAAAAAAGTTCTTACGTTTTAAAAAGGTAATACGTACACTATTTCCCTTGTTCTCATTGATGAGTTTAAGTCACATGACACATGCATGTTTTTGTAAAATTTCCTTTTTTACTTTTACACAAAAATGCGACGTAAATTTTTGTTCTATTCAAATACTGTAGAATTGCATGGGCGTTTTAACTCTTATAATGCAAAAATAAACAAAACTTCTCTAAACCAAATTTAACTAAAACTTTGCTCTTCTCGCTAAGAGCTCCATTAGCGTGTGTTTATAAAAATTTTTACCTTCCTTTAATTATAAACTTGCATCAAAAAAAATGTCTGGACCTTTACCACAAGGATTGACACAACGGGTAAGCAGATAGTCATTAGCATTTAGTCGATTCACAATCATCATTAGTTTAATCCCTTAATTTATAATTATTAGCTGGATTCAAATCAAAATCGGTATTATGGTGCGTTCATTTTCTTGACTTATGTCTTGATTGCTATGCATATACAATCTATAATAATATTATTATTGTAGGTATTGATCCTGTTAATAAGAAAACCATCTGGGTAAGTTGAATCCCTTTTTTAAACTTTCGCTTCAAAGAATATTTTTCACCTTATTATTCATAAAAATAGGATGATCCACCTCAACAATCTAAAGTTATTCAACCCCAAGTTATTCCTGCTGGAAATGGACAACAACAACAACCACAACAGCAACAACAACTCATATTTAATGCCATTCCTGTTGGAAATGGTCAACTTCAACAGCAACCACAACAACAACAGCAACAACAACCACAGCAGCAACAACAACAAATAATTAATGCCATTCCCGTCGGAAATGACAAACTTCAACAACAATCACAGTTGCAACAACAGAACATTGTAAATGCCATTCCTGTTGGAAATGGTCAACTTCAACAACAACCACAGCTGCAACAAAAGAATATTATAAATGCCATTCCTGTTGGAAATGGTCAACTTCAACAACAACCACAGCTGCAACAACAAAACATTGTAAATGCCATTCCTGTTGGTAATGGTCAACTTCAACAACAACCACAGCTGCAACAACAAAACATTGTAAATGCCATTCCTGTTAAAAATGGTCAACTTCAACAACAACCACAGCAGCAACAACAAAACATTGTAAATACCGTTCCTGCTAGAAATGGTCAACTTCAACAACCACAGCACATCGGTAATGCTATTTCCGCCGGCGGACAATATCAACAAATATTTCAATATCAACAAAAGACTAATGACGGTATTCAAACATCGTGGTCATATACTATGGTGGGTAATGGTGGTATACCGGTGACTGGAAATACTGTTAATGGGAATCAACAGCCAGCGCAAAGCATGAACATATCACAAGCTAATCATGCAGGTTATGTTAATCATATGGGAAATGTTAATTATATAGGTCATGCTAATTATACTGGCAATCCTAATTATACGAGCCGTCCTAATTATACAGGCCATCCTAATTCTAATTATACGGGCTATCCTAATCAAACGGGTCGTGTTAAGTATACGAGACAGCCTAGTAATACGAATATCTTTGAACAAATTGGTCCAATAGATAAATTTTCGAAAAAATCTCAAGGCTTTATTAATTCAATTATGTCAAGTCTTAGCAAAGGTAGTAAAATGAAAGTTGGGCTAGGTGGCGTTTCGACGGGAGGTTCTGGAATGGGAAACAATGGAATTGGAAGAGGAAACAACAGGTTTGGGATGAGAAATACCGGGTTTGGGAGGGGAAATACCGGTATTAGGATGGGGAATACTGGTATTGGAATGGGAAATACTGGTATTGGAATGGGAAATACCGGTGTTGGGATGGGAATTACCGGTGTTGGGATGGGAAATAATGGTGCTGGAATGGTAAATAATGGTGTTGGAATGTGTAATAACGGTGTTGGAATGGGAAATAATGGTGTTGGAATGGGAAATAACGTCATTGGCATAGTAAATAATGGCGTTGGAATGGGAAAAAATGGTGTTGGAATGGGAAATAATGGTGTTGGGATAGGAAACAATAGTGTTGGGATGGGTAACAGCGGTAGAGGGGGAAGCATTAATAGAGGGGGAGGAAGCATTAATAGAGGGGGAGGAAGCAGTAATAGAGGGGGAGGAAGTAGTAATAGAGGGGGAGGAAGTAGTAATAGAGGTGGAGGAAGCAGTAATGGAGGAAGAGGTGGCATACTTGGAGCTGGAGGAGGACAAGTGTTGAATTCCCTCTTACATCACGGAAATTCTCAGCAAAGTCATCATGAAAATTCTCAGCAAAGTCACCATGGAAATTCTCAGCAAAGTCACCATGGAAATTCAAATCACCATGGAATATTTCATCACAACCACCATGGAATTTTACACCACAACCACCATGGAATTTTTCATCATAACCATCATGAAAGTTCTCACCAAAATTATCATGAAAGTTCTCAACAAAGTCATCCTGGAAGTTCTTACCAAAGTCACCATGGAAGTTTTCACCAAAGTCATCATGGAAGTTCTCACCAAAGTCATCATCATCAAAGTCATCATGAAGATTCTCATCACCATAATCAGAGCCAAGATAATACAGATTCCCAGGATCAAGTGTGTGTTCAAAATGAAATAGATGGACATAATAATTATCAAGATGGGGATTATCACGCCAACCAAGACCAAGACGGTTATCAATACGACCAAGATGGTAGCTATCAAAACGGTAACTATCAAGACAGTGACTATCAAGGTGGTGATAATCAACATCAAGACAGTGGCTATCAAGGCGATTATCAATACGGTCATGATGGTGGCTATCAAGGAAGTGATTATCAAAGCGGTTATCATGATAACTATCATGACCATTATCAAGACAATTATCAAGACAGCTACGGCAATTATCATGGTGGATATGATCAACATGTACGTATTTTTTTCTTATCATGCCCTTACATCACATTGTTTCTGATTCAAAATCTTGATTTATAGAATTTTGATGATTCGGGAGGAATGTATGATATGAGTTCATTACATAACGCTTTGGATGATGGTGGTTTTGATCACCATGGTGGTGGAGACTTTGGTGGTGGAGATTTCGGCGGAGATTTCGGTGGAGATTTCGGTGGAGATTTCGGTGGAGATTTCGGTGGAGATTTCGGTGGAGATTTCGGTGGAGATTTTGGTGGAGATTGTGCTGGAGAATTTTAATAATAAAATTTCATTGATAAAACATAAAATATGTAATATAAATAATATAATAATAAAATTACGTTTTGTTTTTTTTTAATGTTTAATATTTTCAATCACATCTTATAATCTCAACTATGTAGCGGTAGGCTAAAGGATGAATTGAGACATTAGAATTTATTATAAACTAAACAAAAAAAAATCGATTATTACCGCTAAGAAAAGTATTCTTATAGTGATCCCGACTAAACTGACTAAGGGCGTCCTCCTCAAGTATCCTTTCAATGGACTCAGCAAAGAATCTGGTTGGTCCATCTTATCAAACTTATCAATCAGGTATTCATTGAGAAATATGCTTGGGACGTCCTAAGCCAATTTTTCGACCCAATGTTACCATTATTAAGAGATTTAGAGAAATAAATAATTGAAGTTTTTATTAATGAATACGTTGGTGGTTATCTCTTTACAACAATACAAATCTTTTATAGTAAACTTTACGAAAACGGAAGGGTTTCTATTACTAACTCTTAAGATTTACCGGATTCTCCTTAAGGGGACAGGGATTTTCTATAATGCTCAACTCTCCGATGACATTCTCTTTCGTAGTTGTGTTATCAGTCATGGAAGATGTCACATATGTTTATATATGAGTGTAAGTTTATAATAAAAATTATAATAAAAATATATAAACTTTAAGCTAAAGATCTTTTTAACCTACATATTAACTTATTTTCGAATTTTTGAACTTACACTATTGAAAATTACTTAAAACAATTTTTTAAAATTTTGCAAAATTTTAAAGTTATACTAATTTTAAACATGTACCGTTGACCACTGTATACAGTATCCCCCAAAAATAATACCTCCCATGATTAAGACCCGGGTATTACTCACCATCCCTATCATTCTGTTTCTTGAATAAGACCTGGGGGTATAACTATATTGATTTACTACTTTTAATATAATATTTCCCTAAATAGTACCCGGTTCTTCACACAGTATCCATGGGTACTATTCAATTTTAAAAATGGAGTTCTTAAGTAAGACCCTGGGTACTGTATACAGTGGCCAACAATAGTTATATGTAATATTTTTTTATGCCAACAAGTTTACTTAGAAAATAAAAATAGGTTGTCTTAGTAAAATATTTTTATATAGTACTAAGATAGTTTATTTTTGTTTTCTAAGTAAACTTGTTTAGTACAGTCAAACCTCTCTAAATTCAACCCCTTAAATGCATAACTTCTTTAAATACATGTAAATTATCTGGCCCATTGATAGGCTTAATAAATAATACTGTATATATACTCTTTATTCTGCAATCCTTATGTCATCAGTTATATATAATAGTGGATACGATTTTTCACCGTACACTCCGATCAGGACACCCAAGATTTGAGCAATACTGTGATTTAGGTAACGGTTAACCGAGTTAACCAAGACACTAAACTAATTTTTTACTCGGGTAATAGCTTATAAACTAGGGATGTTAATCGGTCCCGCAGTAATTTTCAGCCGACTTTGAGCAAGATTTATAAAAAATTGGCATTGTTAACCGGCATTCGTCTAATAAATAAAGTCATAGAAAAATAATTTTTCTGTTACATTTTCTAATAGAGGTTTATCGATTTTTGCACTAGTTTTTGCGTAATTTAAATGGGACCGATTAGGGACCGATTAGCTAAATTTTCTCCACACTGTTCGGTCCCTAATCGGTCCCATCAAAACTACTCAAAAACTAATGCAAAAACCGATAAACCTCTATTAGAAAATGTAACAGAAAATTTATTTTTCTATAACTTTATTTATTGGACGAATACCGGTTAAAAATGCCAATTTTTTATAAATCTTGCTCAAAGTCGGCTGACAATTACTGCGGGACCGATTAACATCACTATTATAAACGGATGGGTAACTCGGAGTCAAATTTTATACGGGCTTAATCTCTATCAAAGGAAAAAAGGATAATTCAACTTTTCTGTTATATTTTATTCTGAGAATCAGATCGTTGGTAATTATTCAAATTTTAGTAATAATTATCTCGGTCGCTATACAAAGCTGATTAGCGAAAACGAAATTCTGCTTCTACGAAGAAGAGTATCTCATTTGCCTCCATCATTTTTTTATTTCTTAGAGACACAAACTTTTATTATATAATTAAAAATATAAACAACCGGGTTGATTCGGACTATACATATATATATATATATTAAAGTACTTAAGCGAGGCAGATGCATTTATTTAGCTAAAATTAGGATTAGAGTAAGGTAGTTAAGTATGCCTTCCGACATTTTTTTTTACTAGTGCTTAAAAGTAGGTTTGAGCATCAATTTTTCGTATTATCTAGGGGTTAGTAAAATTACGGGGGGGACAACTTATAATAAATATATGCCAATAAAAATGTCATGCATAACCTTGCA